AAAAGGTGGTACAAAATATTTAGAAATTTTTAAATCTTAGTTCGGTAAAAATTCCACAGGTTTACAAAAAAAACAGTTTATGCATATTAAACCAAACTTATATATCCCTATCTTATTCGACACGCTGAATGCGAATCCGAGGTCAGTTAGCCTCCATTACGTTAGGTTCGTGATCAGTTGAAGGTCAAGTAANTACTTACAAGCGGTGCACAAAATACCACTTCAGATACTATGTTGATAAAAGGTGGTACAAAATATTTAGAAATTTTTAAATCTTAGTTCGGTAAAAATTCCACAGGTTTACAAAAAAAAAACAGTTTATGCATATTAAACCAAACTTATATATCCCTATGTTATTCGACACGCTGAATGCGAATCCGAGGTCAGTTAGCCTCCATTACGTTAGGTTCGTGATCAGTTGAAGGTCAAGTAGGCACAAATTTATTGAATAAGCCTGAAAATTCATATATATGGGGCTTTAGATTCGCTGAACCCGAATCCGAGGTCCGTTAGCCTTCACAAATAGGACAACAAATCCGAATATGATTCCTCAAGGTCATCTAGAAGTCACACCAAGGTCATCCCAAAGTCAAATACAGAAGAATTGTATTGAATTTTCAGGTTTATTCAATGAATTTTTCCCTATTCGACCTTCAAATGACCACGACGGACCTCGACTTGATGGAGGCCAACGAACCTCGGATTCGCTCAGCGTCTCGAATAACATAGGGATATATAGGTTTGGTTTAATATGCGAAATATGAACGAAATTATTTTTTTCATTTACAAAATTGNTTCAGGTTTATTCAATGAATTTTTCCCTATTCGACCTTCAAATGACCACGGACCTCGACTTGATGGAGGCCAACGAACCTCGGATTCGCTCAGCGTCTCGAATAACATAGGGATATATAGGTTTGGTTTAATATGCATAAACTTTTTTTTTGTAAACTTTTTGTCAACCTGTGTGAGCGAGGAGGAGGAGGCTTCATCCCAATGAAACGAAGCTCTTGACTCACCCTTTGTTGTGTGTGTATGTGTATATGCCCATAACAATTTGCTTTCAAATATATTAAATTAAACAAATTAAAGTGCTGGAGGCGTTGAAATGGCCACATTTATGGATTTGTATAGTGTTGTTCATTTTGTGACGAACCGATTGCGTCTAATTTCTTTTAGCGACAATTGAAAAAAATGTTTAAAATACAAGTTCCAGCTAGATGAAGAAACTCAAATGAATCGGTGCAAGTTTATAAGTTCAGCAACTATGCATTGAAATGTGTCTAGTACACAACGAAGTGCAAGAAACACAATGCAAATGGAACTCCCGAATGCTGAAAATATTTGTGTCTCAATTGGAAAAGGACGCCAGGTTATAAACCAAGAACAGATGCTATGGAAGCTTTAATATACACACAAAAGGTGAACTTTTGGGCTATTCTCTTTGGAAAACTGGAGAACTCTTAACCCCTCTTACTAAAATCAGCGTGTGCTCTCTGCCTTTTTCGTACCTACATCTTAGCCCTACTGGACAAATCTGATTGAAACTAATACACACATACCAATCAAACAATACAAACGCAAATACGGACAATAGGGCGGAGTAATTTGATTTTGAAAAAAGTATATGGCATATTCGAATTCTACGTTCGATTCTAAGCGAAAATGGTAGACAGACTGTATACCAAAAAATCACATTTGACCCTCTAAATTCTGAAAAGAAAAATCAGTGTATTATAACTTTTTCTGAACGAAATTATTTTTTTCATTTACAAAATTTTGTGTTTTCTTCATACAATATCGACACCTTAGTGGAAGATCGAACTATCTGGGCAGTCAGTTCGAAAACGCTCTTTCTCATAAATCTTTTCAAGACGGCCGTACTTCATAATTCGGTTTAAAAATGCCCTATCTCAGGTGAGAATACATTTAAAGTGTGCTGAGATAGGGAGCTTTTGAATCGGCAGCTAAGTTAGGGCATTTTTTGAACCGAATTTTGAGATAGATCGTTCTTGAAAAGTTTTCTGAGATGGTGCGTTTTCGAACTGCCTGTCGAGATGGGTCGATCTTCCTCTCATTNATAACATAGGGATATATAGGTTTGGTTTAATATGCATAAACTTTTTTTTTGTAAACTTTTTGTCAACCTGTGTGAGCGAGGAGGAGGAGGCTTCATCCCAATGAAACGAAGCTCTTGACTCACCCTTTGTTGTGTGTGTATGTGTATATGCCCATAACAATTTGCTTTCAAATATATTAAATTAAACAAATTAAAGTGCTGGAGGCGTTGAAATGGCCACATTTATGGATTTGTATAGTGTTGTTCATTTTGTGACGAACCGATTGCGTCTAATTTCTTTTAGCGACAATTGAAAAAAATGTTTAAAATACAAGTTCCAGCTAGATGAAGAAACTCAAATGAATCGGTGCAAGTTTATAAGTTCAGCAACTATGCATTGAAATGTGTCTAGTACACAACGAAGTGCAAGAAACACAATGCAAATGGAACTCCCGAATGCTGAAAATATTTGTGTCTCAATTGGAAAAGGACGCCAGGTTATAAACCAAGAACAGATGCTATGGAAGCTTTAATATACACACAAAAGGTGAACTTTTGGGCTATTCTCTTTGGAAAACTGGAGAACTCTTAACCCCTCTTACTAAAATCAGCGTGTGCTCTCTGCCTTTTTCGTACCTACATCTTAGCCCTACTGGACAAATCTGATTGAAACTAATACACACATACCAATCAAACAATACAAACGCAAATACGGACAATAGGGCGGAGTAATTTGATTTTGAAAAAAGTATATGGCATATTCGAATTCTACGTTCGATTCTAAGCGAAAATGGTAGACAGACTGTATACCAAAAAATCACATTTGACCCTCTAAATTCTGAAAAGAAAAATCAGTGTATTATAACTTTTTCTGAACGAAATTATTTTTTTCATTTACAAAATTTTGTGTTTTCTTCATACAATATCGACACCTTAGTGGAAGATCGAACTATCTGGGCAGTCAGTTCGAAAACGCTCTTTCTCATAAATCTTTTCAAGAACGCCGTACTTCAGAATTCGGTTTAAAAATGCCCTATCTCAGGTGAGAATATATTTAAAGTGTGCTGAGTGTGAGTGTGTGTTTGAACCGAATTTTGAGATAGATCGTTCTTGAAAAGTTTTCTGAGATGGTGCGTTTTCGAACTGCCTGTCGAGATGGGTCGATCTTCCTCTCAGGTATTGATATACTGCTTTTTCTTTTGAAAATTGGGAGGGTCAAACGTCATTTTTGGTATTTAGTTTGTTCGCCATTTTTGCTTAGAATTTATCGTCGAATTTTCATTTGCTATACACTCTCTTCGAAAATTTTGCTCCGAACAAATTACTCTGCCCTAATGAACAATTCTGTGTTGTAGCGAGAAAGAAACATTGTATGCAAAGTCCCATCTACAGGAAAGTATCCATAAGATTTTTCAAAATCGCCGTAGAAATTTTATGTATAATCTGAAGGGTTAGTACTCCCAGTCTGATACTCAGATGATTATTCAGTGATCAGTCAGTTGTAAAGCAGAGTAGGCCAGGGACCTTCCACAAAGCCTGTTACGCGACCCCTGCCCAATTCATTGACTAGTCCTGAGTCCCGACGTGGGCCTGAAATGTACCCTAAGTAGGTAAAAAACGAGCTGCTAAGCTATCCTGTTTAGGAGCTTACGGCAGTCACCTACAATTAGGGAAATGCCTACCACAGACATGTCCTACAATTGTGCTGTTTTTATTTTACTTCTTCAACTCGCTGTAAGAGTTCAGCGAAACAACCATCTCAATCTCGAGATTGATCTGAAGAGATTTCTTTAATACAGCTCATTTGCTGGAACGAGATTGTCTGTATCAAACAATTATAATAAATTTCTACTGATATAAGACTCACATGGTAATACAAAATTAAATTCCTTGGATAGATTATCATCGCCTGTAAAAGATTGNATTATAATAAATTTCTACTGATATAAGACTCACATGGTAATACAAAATTATGTAAATTCCTTGGATAGATTATCGTCGCCTGTAAAAGATTGGCGTATGTTAAGTACTTTCGCCAGGTTTTGAAAAATCGCCCTTGAAGTTTGTAATGCCTCGAGGAATATTACTAGGTCACGAAATTCTTAGATTATTTTATTTTAATTTTTTATAGTTAATTATTTTTGAGTTTATGAAGGATTTTCTTTAGTAAAATTTTGTCGTATGCAGCCACTTGTATGAAATGCGACAAAATGTGATAACAACTTGTACCAAACTAAAGAGGTAAAAAACGAAAAATTGTAGTTCAAATCTCGGAAAGTAAAGGAGATATTAAAAACTGATAACATCAATCGAAAGATCTTATTTTAAAATATATACATAATTGCCTCTCAAACTAAAAATCGTCAAAATGGCGCTTAGGACAATATTTTACCCAGGCGACGTTATGTCGTTCAAGGTTCCTGTTAAATGTTTTCTCCACAGGTTTTTACATACATATCTTAGCCGGTCTAATTGGGTGCCGTGTATTTTTGAAGCTATCGATATATTAATGGATATTATTATCGATATAAAAAGTACATCGATATATATCGATATTTTTCCATAAAATCATCGATAACGGTATGCGCAATATTGAACGTTTGCTGGGGCTTCGTGAATATCCGGATAACTCAGATATTCGAGTATCTGATTAAAAGATACGAAAATCTGGACAAATCAAAGATAACGATTGTAAAACGGGTATGAACCGGATATCCGGAAAGTTAGATGACAAAACATAACGGATATTAACCCAATATCCGGATTTTAGCCGCGCATACACGAATTAACGAACGGAAATCCGGACCGTATATTCGAATACGCGGATATGCCCAGCCCTATCGAACTGTCGTGACCCGCCGTAATATGATATTTGTAATTCCTAAACGTAAAGCTTATAATTAAAAAATTAAAAGTCCCTCACTTAACTAATTTTACTCACCAAAGAAGCAACAACAAAACACCAACGTATACAACGTTATAAAAATGATGCGTACATCTGTGCGATCGAAGATATATTCGGGAACTTCCTCATCCAACAAAATTCCGCTATCATTAAAGCGAATGCCACCAATGCCGCTTTCGGAAGCCACATTTAAATCACCAATCGCACCGTAACTGCCATTACCATTAGCCAAAGTTGCATTTTGTATGCCATTCCAAGCATCGGCATCGACGGTAGACTGAAGATCTGCACCCGCATCGCTGCTGAGTGTCGCCGCCACTGCCGACAACGCTGTCGCAGCGGTGGCATTGCAAAGCGCCAAAAATGTGGAATTCAAAATAAATGACGTTAATGCAGCGAAATTCAGTGATGGCGCTTTTGAGCTGCTTTTAGCCACACTTGCTCTTGCGGAAGCCTCAATTTTAGCTGCTTCACTTTCTATTTTCGCTCTGGAGCTAGTGGATTTAATGTTCCAGTGCTGACTGGGCGCGAAATGTCTTCTTCTTCTATTCGCATTGCCATTACTACCCCCACGCGTTTTACNTGTGGAATTCAAAATAAATGACGTTAATGCAGCGAAATTCAGTGATGGCGGTTTTGAGCTGCTTTTAGCCACACTTGCTCTTGCGGAAGCCTCAATTTTAGCTGCTTCACTTTCTATTTTCACTCTGGAGCTAGTGGATTTAATGTTCCAGTGCTGACTGAGCGCGAAATGTCTTCTTCTTCTATTCGCATTGCCATTACTACCCCCACGCGTTTTACCAGCAATGTTCGAAATTTTTAAACTCCCCGTTGTTTTACTATTCCGAACCGGGTTCAAAGCGGCTGCGTGATTTGTGCCACCGCAGCGAATTTTCGGAATTTTTGCGACATCTATGTCCCGCAGCAATGGCTCCGCAGCGGGCTTTGGCGATGGCAATGGTGTTGATGTTGATGCTGCTGCTGCTGCTGCTGATATTGGCATGCACTCCTGGCCAGTAGGTGTTAGCATCGCTAAAGTTTCTATGCTACTAACAACCTCATGCGACGTGGATAGTGCATTCGCTGTTGTTGTGGTGGCTCTGGATGTAGGTGAATTACTGGACTCTTCATTATTGTCGCATTGCTCATAATTCCCATTAATGTAGCTTTCGCTGCGCTGGCACGTAGTATTGTTATACGAAATGCGCTTGTTTGTAGCATCACTCGTCATTTTTGCAAACATTGTTTTTGTTGTTGCTCGTTGCATGTTGTTGACACAATTCGTATCCTCATTTAACCTCCATAATCGCAGTCGCTTGCACTGCTTATTCGCTTCGCCGCAACGATGGTGTACATGCTTGTTTGTGGTGTTGGTGCTGGTGTTGCTATTGCTATTTCTGTTGCTACCATCATCCAGCTTGGCTTGCCAAAGCTCATTTTGGTGATTAAAATTTCCAAGCATTGCGTGCCTTAAATGCTTCTCCTCGACGCTTGCAACAACGTACTCATTGTGATTATCTGGATTGCTCAATTTTCTCGCTGTTGTTATTGTTTTTATTTTTGTTGCAGTTATTGTTGTTTCTGCTACCGGCATTATTAATATGCTGCTTGCCACATTCCCCACAAGCATCTTTGACTCTGTGGCTGACATTATTACATTGTTAGCGAGTATCCTTCAACTATTGTTCCTTTTGTTTTTGTTGTTCTGTAATAAAATGAAAATTAAAAATTAAAATCATGTTTAGCAAAATTTTAATTATGTTTTACATAAATTACAGAGCATGTGGGCAGGAAAGATAAATAAAACAACAAGCGTACTAACTACTAAGTATTCATTACAAAAAAAGCCGTGGCACATATTTATACTACTTCGAGTACATAAATTGATACGGTTTTCAAGGCATAGGAGACCAAAAATTAAGACTAAAATATGTGCAGCTACTGTTGAGCACGGAAATTCCTTGAAAATCTCCGGAAGTTTCTAATACAACAAGAAATGTCGTCAAGCACGCAAAACATCCAGCAGTACTGGAGGGCGCTCTGCTTGTTGGGGATGCGTATGCACACTTACACATAGTCAGATGTGAACAGTCAAATACGTGCGTAATAAATTTTTGTATGAAAATATTATTTTTAAATACGAACATTTTCAAACGATAATCAAATATAAAGATTCATTTTTTCTATGCATTATTTCCCTCAATGTATTCAGTACGTATTATTATCAGGTTCGTTTTTCTAACTTTTTCTAAGGGTTAACGGTTTAATGTACACTGCATATTTATACCAAACAGAACAATTTAATCTAATTATTTATATCAATTAAGTACATCAATATATTTCACACAAAAATCTGCAAGTGCCATCTGATGTTCACCTCTGCGTGTAAAATTAAAATCGATGACTGGCATCATTGTGGTGAAATGCGCACCCAATGTCAAGCGGAATCGTGTTAATCCAGCAAATCTTATGAACTGGAATAATTTATTCGCAATATGGATGGGATAAGTTCACAAACTTCCATATCTTACCATTTCTTGTTTGTTTTAATAATTTTTTTATGTTCCGAAATTTCATTCACTCAGAGTTTATAATAATATTTACAACTGCCGTAACTCTAATCTCCAAATACAGCATACAGCCCGAGTGCTAAAAACCGATAGACGCCAAATGAAATAAGTTTTAAACGCCCATTAATACCAACCGTAGCACCAAAAGCCCTTTAATGGACTACAGCAAAGCCGACAGCAACCATTAAGCTCTACAAAACCAGCAAAACCATAGAAAACGGTCAAAACCACTAACCCAGCAAAAGAAGAAGATTTAAACTTAAAAGAGAAAAAAATTTAAAAAAAAAAAATTTAAAGCGCACGCAAATCTGCTCGAATTCATTCAACTGGCAACCGGAAAAGGGTAAACCTACAATTTGTAAACGAGCGGCCAGCAAAACGCCCAAATTGGTTGATGACGTATACGCCCCGTTGTGCGCCAGCCATACAGTTTGAGTGGATGTGGCACAACAGTAGCGGCAGAGAAAAATATGACGCAATGGCATAAAAGATCAAAAGAAGCAACCTTTGCTGGTCTCTTAACTTCGTTTGTTATATACAGAAGAGGCTATATCCGCTATCAATGTAAACAGAAACAGTTGAAAGCATGCCGTTGGTGAAATAACAGCCCCCAGAGAAAAACTAGGAAGAAATTTAATATTTACTTAGGGATTTTCCGCCACACCTTAGTTCTTTTTTTTTTTGGTATGCCAGTTACGTCCTTTTTTAATTTTGGTGCTAACTTTTATGGCCGTCACGCACGTTTTGTGTCCCTTAAGGCGCGGCAAGTAGCTGCGGGAGTGCTATCATTCAAAGCAACTGAATTTCTGCTTAATGCCTTTCACAACTATTTAGTATTTAATGTAACAACTTTAGTGCAGCTAATGCCTAGTTTTCACACAGTTATTGTTTTAAGTGGTTTCTTTTACAATTTATTTAATTATTTTCTTTTGCAACTTTGCTCTACAAAAAGTCACAATTCATTTATTGCAAACTAATTTCATTCAAAGTATGTCAGCTGTTACTTTTCTTTATTTCCAGCTCAAGCTACTTGTTCCTATTTTAGTCAAATATCTTTATTTAATTGTTGTTTCACTACTTCATTCATCTCGTAACTCTCGATCCAAGTTGTCATTTAAATTCACAACTACTTTCGTTGCACTTCGTTCTTTAGGCAACTCAAATTGCAACTAGCTATAGACGCTTCGTTTGCTGCTCCTTTACTATTTTGCTTTTTAGCTTCTCACTTCTTAATTTGCGCATTTGCAGATATTGCTCTCTAAGCCATTGTCTGTTGCTGTTTATTCTACTCAGCCTCCCCCTTTCTGTTTGTTGCAATCTGGTTTTGCGCTTTAACTTCAATTTCTGCATTTATTTCCTCAGTTTCACCCACTTGCTGTGGCTACTCAATTGCGGTTCACTTGAGTTGTCGCCACTTTTCATGCTTTTTAGTCCTGTCGCATTGTTGCTTTTTATTAAACTTTTAAGAAACATTCCATCCAATTGGTATTTTGCTTTTGACGTCTTCTAAAATTGTAATTTGATTGTCTCACACAATTTCACAATTTAATAAATACCCTCCATTTTTTTTTTGCTGATGCTTTTTATTGGCGACAATTCTTTTTTTTACAAATAAGCTTTACGAATATATACATACATACATACATATAATAAAATTGTAACAGGCCACTGTTTTTACATTATAGTAGATATTAAAGCAACATTGATATGGGGGTATTTATTAGAGCAACAGAAGCCAAATCAAAAATTTCGGAATTTTTGTCTATGTTTGTACGCGCGTCATTCGAAAACTAGCATTTGAAATAATTACAGTGTTTCCACCTGTTAGAAAATAATAGTCTAAATAAATTGATAAGATAAAGTAAATATACCAATATGGCTGTTTAAGAAGGCTTACAGTCGAAATTTGTTTTGGTGGAAGGTTTCCACCTCTGAAAATTTTAATTTGATTTAATTGATAAGATTAATTAAATATGGCAATATGGGTATCAAACTATAGAAGTTTAGGAAAGTTTACTGCGAAAAATACTTTTGAGGAGGGCTGCCACCAGTTCGAAAAGCTGTATTCAATTATTAAATTAATAAAATAAATGAAATATTTCAATACGAGTATCAAGCTAATGATAAACTAGTAATTTTTAGCAAAAAAAAAACCGACTTCAACTCCCATATAAAAAAAAAATATATATATATATATCTCATGATCCGCTGATCGGATCTTAACCAGATTAGTATGGGACCACCAAAAAGAATTATCGAAATCGGTTGACGTGGTCCAAAGTTATGCGGTAACATACATAAAAAAAAAAAAAAAGATTCCGACGAACTGATAACCTCCTCCTTTTTTGGAAGTCGGTTAAAAATTATACTGCCGAAAATAATTTTGCAGCGGGTTGCCACCTATTTGAAAAAAAAATATTTCAGTTAATTAATACACCTTTGAAGAAGTGCACGATATGTAGAATCGAGTTATAAGATCATAAATTAAATTTCCAGGATACCAAATACCTTCATAAATACAAAAATGAAGTATGTTTCATAAATCGAAAAAAATCAAATTTATCAATTTCATATAGCACTTAGCAAAAATTTGCCTTTCTTCAGACAAACTCCTTTTAAACAATTTGTTTTAATTTTTTTTAAGGCAAAATTTAACGTATCTTTATATATACAGAATCGGTCATACCAATAGCGCCTCCATTTTAAAGTAATATTGTTTTTCACTTGTGTTTATTTATTTATTTTTTAAGAATTTCCAATTAAAACATAGTTCATTCTCTAACAAAACCCATATAAACCGAAGTTTAAAATTTTTTAGAAAACTAAAAAAACGTAAGTTAATAAAAGCGTTGTAAAATGCAAATAAATTTTTCATCCAAATCTCAAACTTTTTTTATGAGAAGTGTTAGATATTTTTTTGAGTACACAGTGCATTCGACTTTAGTGTAATATTGGCAAGTTTCAGGTGGCTAAAAATTACCATTAATTCTTAGAATTTTTTGGACGTAGGTTTTGCGATTTTCTTTCATATGAAAATTATGCGACAGGCAAAAAATTCTGAGAACCACTTGAAATCTTGAAACTTGCACACTAAAACTGAATGAACTATAAAATTGTATACTCAAAAAAATTCTAACACTTCTGAGAAAAAATTTTAAATTTAAAAGAAATTGTGTTTGCAATTTTTTTTGGCTTTCGACAAAGCTTTAAATTTCGGTTTATATCTGTTTTGTTAGAGAATGAATTGTGTTTTAATTTAAAATTCTTAAAAGACAACTTAAAAAAAAAAAAAAACTAACATACGTGGCAAACAATATCACTTTGAAATGAGGGTGCTATTGATATGACTGATACTGTATTTTATAGAAATTTTTTACAATTCAAAAAATTCTTCGAATGTTTCGAGACTACATATTTTCGGCTTAAGGGAAAATCGGTTTTACTAAAACGTTTTCAATGCTATGGAAAAAATGCTCAGTAAAAAATTTTGCGGTTTAAAAAAAAACAACATATTCTCGTTGAATTATTATTTTTTTTAAGCTCTGAATATTTCATTGAGGATGCAATTAGACATTAAACCAGATATTTATTAACCTCGATAAGAACCACTGCAAATACAGATGTACATAAGAAATAAATTAAGCCATAATTCGGGGCGGAAACTAAATGAATTACTTGCTATATTTTAATGCGCGTTAACGCAAGGAAAGGAAAGTACTTTCCTACATACATACATATGTATGCTGCTTTCTGTTAATTGCAAGAAGTATAAAAGCATGAAATCTTACTCGCTGTACTGCAAGAAAGTTGCTCTTTGAGATTTGCCGGTGGAATAAGTACATACGTATCTATACGCATTAAATAACAAAATTAATTGCCGCTCAGCTTGTTAGCCATTTAAGGGCAATTATTCAAATTTAAGAAGCCATTAGCAGACTTCTTACGAGAAGCGAAAACTGTGAAATGGTGGAAAAACGTTAGTAAAAGCTGATAAGCAGCTGTTGGAGAGGATTAAGGATGTGCAAGTTAGTGAAGCTAAAAAGTAGCAAGCTACACAAATAAGCGGGCGGTATAATAATGG